TGCAGGGTTCGGGGAGACCAGATATATTGTGAATGCAGGGTCCGGGGAGACTGGTTATAGTGAATGCAGGTTCCGGGGAGACTGGATATAGTGAATGCAGGGTCCGGGGAGACTGGATATAGTGAATACAGGGTCCGGGGAGACTGGATATAGTGGATGCAAGGTCCGGGGAGACTGGATATAGTGAATGCAGGGTCCGGGGAGACTGGATATAGTGAATGCAGGGTCCGGGGAGACTGGATATAGTGGATGCAGGGTCCGGGGAGACTGGATATAGTGGATGCAGGGTCCGGGGAGACTGGATATAGTGGATGCAGGGTCCGGGGAGACTGGATATAGTGAATGCAGGGTCCGGGGAGACTGGATATAGTGGATGCAGGGTCCGGGGAGACCGGATATAGTGAATGCAGGGTCCGGGGAGACTGGATATAGTGAATGCAGGGTTCGGGGAGACCAGATATAGTGGATGCAGGGTCCGGGGAGACTGGATATAGTGAATGCAGGGTCCGGGAAGACTGGATATAGTGAATGCAGGGTCCGGGGAGACTGGATATAGTGGATGCAGGGTCCGGGGAGACTGGATATAGTGGATGCAGGGTCCGGGGAGACCGGATATAGTGGATGCAGGGTCCGGGGAGACTGGATATAGTGAATGCAGGGTCCGGGGGAGACCGGATATAGTGGATGCAGGGTCCGGGGAGACCGGATATAGTGGATGCAGGGTCCGGGGAGACTGGATATAGTGAATGCAGGGAATGTAAATTCTCAGCCCTTGCACCCTCCTGGCCAGCAACTTCTGATCACCGTGGTTCTGTAGTCAGTAAACAAAATTATTCCATGGGTTTCTCTGTTGGTAGCACTAAGACTGAGAAAATTGAAATTTTTCAGTCGACTTTGTCAGAGGAGTTGGGTGGAAAATTGTCGGTAAAACAGCACCAATCCAATCAGATGTTAGCACCACTTGGGTTATTTGTGACAGTTGCAGACACGGCACGAGATTCATCCATTCACACTCTATATCGGGAATTTGTTTCTATTGTTCAGCCCGGAGGCCCGCTCTAGGCCTATAGGAATAATATCGGAGTGACAGCCAGGATGACCACAAGCTCTGAAGACAATATATCACCTGTCAGGGAAGCAAGGCAGATTTGTGACTAATGACAGTTCAGGATCGGAGTACTCGGTCTGTTATGGTAACATGCACACTCTACAACCTTCCTAATGGGGCCACCCTCCCATCCCTGGGCCCAATGGCAGCACTTGGATGGCTATGGCTAATATAAGGCCATTGGGAGAATCTTCTTCATGTGTTTTAAATGACAGCGATTGACTCACAACCAGTAAACATTTGGTAAATATCAAATTTTTTACACTTTATAAATGTGGCCCAATTTAAATTTTTGAACAAACTCCTCCATTTTCTCTTGCAATTTTTTTATAATTGCTGAAAAAAAAACTTTCTGTTTACATAAGTTTGGTAAAATGAGCTTTGTTTAAAAACTACAATTTATTTTGCAACTTTTACCCTAAATTTTTACATTTTAATATCAAATATTTTTTAAGTGTTACTAAACCCAGGACCCTGCATTCACTATATCTGGTCTCCCACAGTACACAGAACATGGAAATGCAATTATTTTAGTAAATATAAACTGCTAAATACCTTTTCTCATCAGCAGTATATAGCAGCCTTGTGACTTGTGTCTGTGTCTCGCAGGGCACATGTTAAAGCTTGTAGGAGGAGTTTTCTTTCTGCTCTAGGAGGATGCAGAACACCTGTCCTCTGCCTGGACAGTGCTGATTGGCCCTGTGCTGATCACATGCACTCTCCCAAGAAAAAAAGAAACCTAACAATACACACCAAACTGAGCATGTGCAGTGTGCTCCACACAATATGTCTTATCAGATCATAAGACGGAGGCACGGGAAGAAGGGGAGGATCAGAGAAAACAGGATCAGACAGAGTTTTTACACAATGCAGAGGATTAACCCCTTAGGTTCCACAGTGAGTATAACAAGCATGCTTTACTGCATATACAGACTGATTTTACTGTTGTGGGTTTAGTAACACTTTAAGTAAGGAAGTTGCATGAGAAAAAGAAACAAATTGCAGAAGTTGTGAAACCGTAATACTTAACAAACTCTCTATAAATAGGTCTCTAAAGCTGGCCATATACGTATAGATTTTCATATGGGAATATTAATTTCAAGAATATTAGTTTAATTTTCTAATCGTTAGTGGGGTCAAATCGATGTTTGTTTTCGACCGCAGTAATAGGAAAATTTGTGCAGCAAGCAGCAATAGACACCTCCCTCAACAGTTGATCCCTCCCAGCAATAATTGACCGCCTGGCAACAATAGATCCTCCACCAGCAACAATGGTTCTTCCCACCAACAATATACCTCCTTGCTGCAACAATAGATCCCCCAATCGACAATAGATCCCCAGAAGCCAGCATCAATAGACCCTCCAGCACACCCCAGCACCCCTTGCCATTACATGCAGTACATTCCGTGCTGGAGGTGCTAGAAATGCGTCCCCCCGCGCCCTTGCAGAAAAAAAGCTGTGATTTTATATTAGGCGATTTACCTTTCTTACAGATCTCGGGGCAGATAACTACACTGCCCAATATCAACAATCCCAAAATGTAGGGATTCATGAGGATATCTGTTAATGCACTTATACATTTTTGTCATTATTGTTAGTTCTGCTAACAATTTGTTTTAGCACCAGTTCACACTACATGTGTTTCAATTGCTTTTTTTTCTGCATCCAAAATGCACAGAAAGTAGGTTATATGGTTGCCAATGTCATAGTTCACATCAGTGCTTGCAATTCCAGTGCGTTCCAGCTGCAGAAAAAAAAGTAGAACATGCTGTATTTGTTCTGCACAGAAATGTATTGGAATGTGGTAAAACGCAATAAAAACACACCAAAACGCACCAAAACGCATTGGAATGCACATGTTCCTATTTAAATTGAAGAAAAAGAGGGGGGGAAAATTAACTAGAATGCATAAAGAACGCACTGGAACATTTCAAAAACGCATCAAAAACACACTCGTGAATAAATCCTGGAGATTATATTTGTGAAGCTTAAAACTGTAAAAGACCAATAAATTGAGAATCTGCAAATCAAACTTACAATAAATTAGCCTTGAAATCATATGCGTAAAGCAATTCTTTCAATAGAAATGTAATGCCCTCTAGTCTAGCTAGATAAGTTTTTTTGTTTCTTTTTTGTTACAGGCTGAATAGCAGCCTGCGATGAGTCAGCCTGGGAGTGAGGCAGGAGTTCACCTCAGGACAGGCTGGGTGGTTCTACAGGTCAGGGCTTCTGGAGCCCTCTCACCTTTCCAGAAACATGAGAACTTTCTGGAAGAGTAGGGGAGGAGACCCAGATATGCATGTTTGAGGGACCTTGGCCAATCCACTAGCAGGAGGCTGGGCACGGTGACCAGGGCAACCTTCAAATATGATGGAGTCGGGTGGAAGATGGGCTGAGAAAAAGGCTGGACTGTGGAGTCTGGGAGGGGAGGACTGTTTAACTTAAAGCTTTTGGGACCCCCTTGCTCAAGGATACCCTCTGCACGGTTGGGTGAAGAGGAGGATTCATCCAGGGTCTGAAAAAGTACACAGAAAATGGGACAGTGCTTTAATTTTTTCCAGTCCACCCTTTTTGTACATAGTTGCTAAAAAGTTTGTCCTCAAGTTCTACAGTTCCTTGGTGTCCCATATACTCCTAGATCCCATCCATGTTGTTAACCCTTTACTAAAAACAACTAAAAAACAGCTGAGGGACTGTTTTACTGACTCTCAAAGTACAAGTGTGGAAAATGCGTGCAGAGCTTAGACTTCTCTTACTGAACACCAATAAGAGGGGACCCTTCCCTCACTGAACACAAATATAACGGGGGCATTTACACTACATTTCAGGGAAATTGGTATTCAGTGTAAATGCCTGTGTTACATTGGTGGTCAGTATAAATGTCTCTTTTACATTGGTGGTCAGTGTAATTGCCTGTGTTACTTTGGTCATTAGTGTAAATGCTCTTTTATTTGTTGTTTGGTATTAATACCTCTGTTACATTAATGTTTCATTCCCTGAATTCAATGCACTGAGCAGGCTAGCTACTAAGCCATGGGGAGCAGAAAAGAACTGTTGAAAGACCTGCGTAACAAGGAAATGGAACTTTATAAATTTATAAAGATGTTAAAGGATATAAATGTTACGCCAATGCCACAAAGAGCCCAGTTACAATATGCCCAACAACACCTTGACTCTCCTTGCTGTCTTTTTTGTGGCATTGACACAGTAAAGGCTTCTTTCTGGCAACTCAACTATGCAGCTCATTTTTGCTCACACATTGTCGTATTGTGCTCCTTGAAACAACCTCACTGTCTTTTCATTTCCAGAGCAGCCTGTATTTATTCTGAGGTTACTTGTGGGTTTTTCTTTGTAACCCAAACAGTTCTTCTGGCAGTTGTGGCTGCAATCGTTCTTGGTCTACCTGACCTTGGTTTGGTATCAAGAGATCCCCAAACTTTCCACTTCTTAATACTTGACTGAACAGTACCGATGAGTATATTTAATGCTTTGGATAATGTTTTATATCCTTTTCCATCTTTATAAAATTCCATTACCTTGTTGCACAGGTCTTTTAACAGTTATTTTCCACTCCCCATGGCTCAGTATCTAGCCTGCTCAGTGCATCCACATAATAGCTAACAAACTAATTGACTATTTATACACAGACACCAATTGCAATTTAAAAAGCCACAGATGTGGGCAATTAACCTTTAATTATCATTTTAACCCGTGTGTGTCACCTTGTGTGTCTGTACCAAGGCCAAACATTCCAGAGTATGTAGACTTTTGATGAGGGCCAATTGGGTGATTTCTGTTATCATTATGATTTATTTAAAAAAGAGGCCAAACAACTACCGTTTTTTTCGCTCCATAATACGCACCTGACATAAGCACCTAGATTTTAGAGGTGAAAAACAAGTAAAAAAAAAAAAATATTCTGAACCAATGGACTGCAGACACAGTACAGGGGATGACCGGAGACTGCAGACACAGTACAGGGGATGACCAGAGACTGCAGACACAGTACAGGGGATGACCAGAGACTGCAGACACAGTACAGGGGATGCAGAGACTGCAGACACAGACAGGGAATGACCAGAGACTGCGGACATAGACAGGGGATGACCAGAGACTGCGGACATAGTACATTGGGGGATGACCAGAGACTGCGGACACAGTGCAGGGGAATGACCAGAGACTGCGGACACAGTGCAGGGAATGACCAGAGACTGCGGCGGACACAGTACAGGGAGATGACCAGAGACTGACACAGTACAGGGGATGCCAGAGACTGGGACAGACAGGAGATGACCAGAGACTGCAGACAGTGCAGGGAATGACCAGAGACTGCAGACAGTGAAGGGAATGACCAGAGACTGCAGACAGTGCAGGGAATGACCAGAGACTGCAGACAGTGCAGGGAATGACCAGAGACTGCAGACAGTGAAGGGAATGACCAGAGACTGCAGACAGTACAGGAATGACCAGAGACTGCAGACAGTGCAGGGAATGACCAGAGACTGCAGACAGTGCAGGGAATGACCAGAGACTGCAGACAGTGCAGGGAATGACCAGAGACTGCGGACAGTGCAGGGAATGACCAGAGACTGCGGACAGTGAAGGGAATGACCAGAGACTGCAGACAGTGCAGGGAATGACCAGAGACTGCAGACAGTGCAGGGAATGACCAGAGACTGCAGACAGTGCAGGGAATAACCAGAGACTGCAGACAGTGCAGGGAATGACCAGAGACTGCGGACAGTGAAGGGAATGACCAGAGACTGCAGACAGTGCAGGGAATGACCAGAGACTGCAGACAGTGCAGGGAAGACCAGAGACTGCAGACAGTGAAGGGAATGACCAGAGACTGCAGACAGTGCAGGAAATGACCAGAGACTGCAGACAGTGCAGGGAATGACCAGAGACTGCAGACAGTACAGGGAATGACCAGAGACTGCAGACAGTGCAGGAATGACCAGAGACTGCAGACAGTACAGGAAATGACCAGAGACTGCAGACAGTGCAGGGAATGACCAGAGACTGCAGACAGTGAAGGGAATGACCAGAGACGGCTGACCTTTGGAGAGGGAGGGGGAGCGGGTACCTGAATTTGACAGGTACCCGCTCCCACTTCCGCGGAGTTGTCCTTCCCTCTTCTTCCCAGCCGGCTTCTGTGACAGCCGGGTGCCCACTGCGCCTGTGCGCGAAGCGCTGCGTTTTGTGAATGGCCCGGCGCCTTCTGGGACCTTTCATGTGTCCCAGAAGACACCGGATCATTCACAAAGCGCAGCACATGCGCAGTGGGCACCTGGCTGTCACAGAAGCCAGCGCAGGAAGACTGTGCAGCGCTGGAGCGAGGAACAGGTAAGGCCTTGCAGGAGACAACAGCTGAGCGGCCGGCCCGGTATTCTGACATGGTGGCCGCAAAAATACCGGACCGGCCGCTTTATATTCGCTCCATAAGACGCACTGACATTTTCCCCCCTTTTTTGGGGGGAAAAAGTGCGTCTTATGGAGCGAAAAATACGGTATGTGATAATAAATGGCTTCATAGGATCACTATCGTTACATAAAAGTCATTTTTGGGCATGATCAGTCACATTTTCAATATAAACACATGCTGGTAGGTGAGTTGGCTCCTGTCTAAATTGGCCCTAGTACATGTATATATGAATGTGAGCTAGGGACCTTAGATTGTACTCCCCTTGAGGGTTAGAGACTGATGTGAATGTACAATATATATGTAAAGCGCTGCGTAAACTGTCGGCGCTATATAAGTACCTGAAATAAATTATAAATGGCAAAATGTCATGATTTCTGCCAGGGTATGCAAACTTATGAGCGCAACTGTATATAAGATGCCTGTACCATTACTAATATACCATTCACCATTATAAATGGCCCAATGTTAGCACTAACTCATTTCCCATTTGAACATGTGCAGCTGCATTTCAGAAACAATGATTCATGATAAATAACAGTAAAGGCCAGGCAGGCATTGGAGCTGTGCCAATGTATGTACTGTACCTCCGTGTGACATGGCCCAGTATTAATCTAGGTAGATCATAGTTTTATAGGGCAATATTCTGCAGTCCTGTCTCATTCCACGCATGTGCCTCAGTTTATATGTATCTGGCAGAATACCCTCAGAAAAAGCACACTGCCTGCAAAATATTTCTTCATTTTTCGGAATATGTTGATGTTAAATCATATTTTGTTCAGATGGGGAAGTGAAAGTGGAAATGAGCCCTGCCATGGTTCCATGGTTTACCATAACTCTCACAGCCAATAAAACTGAGAGTAGAGTCTAGCAAAAAATAAAATTTTTAATACTTACCATAAAATCTCTTTCTTTGAGTCCACTGAGGGACACTGGAATTTAAGAATTCTATCAAAGTCGGGTTATACTGTCACCTGCAGGAGTCTTGAACACTAGAAAAAAAAAAAAAGAAAGAAACAGAACGTTGAATATCAGCTCCTGCATGACCCTCCTCTACCCAGCATTCCTTAGTTTTGTAAGTAAGCAGTGCATAGGGCCAACAATTCAGAGGGTGGGACCATTGTGCCTCAAATGATTTGAAGAAAAACTTTTTACATTAAGTACAAAATTCCTATTTTTTTTATCATCCGATGAAGGACATAAAAGTGAATAACAAAAATGCAGCGCTAATCAATAATGCATTAAAATATAAACATACAAGTCCAAATAAATCCTCAAGTGAATGAGACAGGTTGCAGAAGATTCTGGTGTCAAAAACCGTCACCAAACACCCGAATAAATAAGCCCCTCACCGGACGTTCAGACCGTATAATATCGGTCAATATACGCAGTACATAAGGAATCAATGGGGTAGGTATTTTTCACTAAGAATCTTCCTTAAGGTGATGAATACTCCTCCTCTTTAAAGATCTTCAAAAGCTGGAAAAACTCCCATCTAATATTCAAATAAGAGATATAAAACAAAAGCAACTCATAGTGTAGTATTTTTACTACACCTCACCCCTGACGACATCTTCCTGATGACAAAACACATTGGGTGGAGCTTCGGCGTTTTATGTCACCATGTTCTGGAGGGACAGCAGACATATTTTTGGTTTGAAACATTTCACATTCAATGCTGGTTGCTTTAATGCTTAATGTGCCTGGATCCTTTATTAAATTTGTCAAAACTTTACTGGAATACTACACTATGAGTTGCTTTTGTTTTATATCCCTTATTTGAATATTGGATGGGAGTTTTTTCCAGCTTCTGAAAATCTTTAAAGAGGAGTATTCATCACCTTAAGGAGGATTCTTAGTGAAAAATACCTGCCTCATTGATTCCTTATGTACTGCTCATATTGACTGATATTATACGGTCTGAACGTCCGGAAAGGGGATTATTTATTCGGGTGTTTGGTGACGGTTTATGATGCCAGAATCTTCTCCTGCAACCTGTCTCCTTCACTTGAGGATTTATTTGGACTTTTAGGTTAATATATTAATGCATTATTGATTAGCGCTGCATTTTTGTTATTCATTTTTAAATTTGCCTTTTGTGTGCAAGCTGCTTTTCCTTACTATTTTGCGCTCTTGAATTTAGAGTGCGGTTACATCCAAGCGCAGTTTTTTTGTGTTTTATAGATGAAGGACATAAGAATGTAGGAATTCTGTTATTATCAGGATGTTAAAAAAAAGCAGTCCAGTTGAGGGGTTGGCAACCCCGAGATAGATAGTCCCAAGAAACCTAGAGAACTATCACATGACAGAGATGACCTGAAGACCAACCTCAAATTAAACTAGATAGGAAAAAACACTGTAAAGGCAGAGGAAACATCACAATCAAGGGGAGGACAGATGATCAACCCAATGTTTCCAGAGTAGAACAAGAAAACGAACACTGTCAACGTGATCACCTGAATGAATAAACAATGGGCCCCGTAAGTGAGACTGGAAAGTCAATCAGAAATCCAGATGGAAAAAACACAGTACCAAAATGTATATCAAGTGAAAGGACTTTATATGGAGCTCAAGGATCCACTATGCAACTTTATATATAAAAACAACATTAAATTCTTTATAAACACAACATAAAACCAATAAGAAAGATTGAAAAGGCCTCCTATGGCTAAGCAAATCATTCTGGTTCCCTCCAAAAGCTTTGACTTCTTGGATCCCTAAGTAGTAAGCTAGAAGATGCAAAGTTATACAAACACTGTATATATAAAAAAAAAGTAGGTTGTCCAAACGTAGATGCTTATGTTTCTCAACATGTTTTGTGGGCATTGAACTACTTTATCAGGAGCAAGGTGTATCTATAAATCAAACATAAATTGGTGATAGTACATACATTAAAACATACAGTTACAATATCCAAATATAAGATGCTGATTTAAAGCTCTTCAATCCAATCACTATAGATGCTCACAATGGTCAAGGATTAAACTCTGTACCCACCTGAGGACATCTGTTTGGGACAAAACGCGTCGGGGCATAGTTATTTTCAGTTTCTGGTTCCAGGTCTATGGAATGCATACTGGCCAAGGGGAGTGGTGAGGAGTGCTGGTGCTTCCCCAATAGGAGTAAGCAGTCATTTCTCTGTGCCCAGAATGTGAGGCACTTTATAATATAAGTGCAATTGTCTTATTTATTTTCTTTTAAAATAAAACATTATGGCTTTACAGGATGTGGTCCCGTTTGTGATTTATGTACCCCTACTTGATCCTGATATTATGTGAGGAATAAACTGAACCACTTGAACTCTGGAAGATTTTACCCCCTTCATGACCAGAGCAATTTTTTTGCTATTCAGCACTGCACTACTTTAACTGGCAATTGCATGGTTATGCCATACTGTACGCAAATTACATTTTTTTTATTTTTTTTCACACCAATAGAGCTTTCTTTTAGTGGTATTTGATCACCAATGAGTTTTCTATTTTTTGCAATATAAACGAAAAAATAAAATAAACTTTTGAACCCCCCCCCCCCAATATTTTCTACTTTCTGTTATAAAACATATACAATACAATAAAATTTATTCATAAATTTAGGCCAAAATGTATTCTGCTACATATCTTTGGTTAAAAAATCCCAATAAGTGTTAAATTAATTGGTTTGTGTGAAATTTATAGCGTCTGCAAACTGGTATATATATTTGAAAATTGATCATTTCTGATGTACTGGTTACCTATCTCATTTATTGAGGCCCTAAAATGACAGGACAGTACAAATACCTCCCAAATTACCCTTTTTGGAACATAGACAGTCTGAGGCATTTAGTAGGAGGCATGGCAAATTTTTGAAGTTGTAATTCTTTTGTCATAATGTTTTTTGAAAATGAAGAAATTAAATTATTTTTTTTCCCCAATTTCTTTTACATACTGTCACCAGCGCAGTACAGTGTCATCATATGACTGGTGTGGTGGTGAACAGGGACAGTGACTAGTGATAGTATGTTAAAAAAAATTAAATACATTTTTATTTAATTTTTTATTTTTTTTTAAATAATATTTTTGTAACATATTTTCATCAGAATAGTTCAGTGTCATCATAGTAACACTGTACTACTCTGAGGGTTTTTCTTTTTTGTTGTTTTTTTTACACTTTTTACAAAGAAGATCATTTTACCAAAAAAGTTTTCAACTGTCATGAATGGGTTACATTCATGACAGCTGTGATCACTGGTGATCTGTGATTGGCTGTGATGACAGCTAATCACATGGTACAATTTGCTGTGATTGGCTCAGGTACCATGTGATAGCTGTTGCCAATCACAGCATAGAAAACAGTCGTTATTAATCGTTTCATAACAGCTTTGTTGACACTGTGATCATGTAATTACATTGCGATCACATGATCAACATGCCCCGAGTACTGGGATCAGCAGCTGCCGGACCCTAAGCTGGAGCAAGCTGAATGACATATGTGTACCTGTGTCTCCCTGCCTGCAGTAAAAGTACTGTGGGCGGTCGTCAAATGGTTAAGCGCTAATAGACCTTTCTTTTGTTGGAAGGTCATTTGATTCTGGTGAGTTATCCAGTTATCCAATCCACTGGGGTGTGGGCACTGGAGCACTTTATTTA